AAAAATCGGGAGAATCACCGCGGCGCCCTCCTATGCGCGTATCACTAGCAAGGTCCCAGTCTCGTGAGCGACGAGCAAAAGCATCATGAGCCGGTATCCCGCAGGTAATCGCCAATAAGGGCGAAGTTTAAATTCTCGTGGGTGGTGAGACCTTACAACAAGCAACGTGGTGGTCGTGAGCAAAGCGTGCCTCGGCGCACGAAAAGGGAAGAATCGCGTCCAATTCTCTCTTACCGTGCCTGCCAGATTGACGCCAAGTTTAAAGGAATGCCCGCCCGACGGTGGCTTGCCTCCTAGATGTAGTAGATGTAGATTCTGCCGTAGACACTCTTGTCCACGAGCACGTTGAGATGGGAAGGTTGCTTGTTATTGCAGAAGCGGGTCTGCTACAGGTCTGAGGTGAGGCGGATTGCCCTCAACCTGGGGGCACGCAGATAGCTAAGTCCCGATGGGGTACGTCCTAAGAGGGTATACCTCCTGACGTCCCCCATCTTAATCTAGACCGACTGTGTACCCTATCTGTGCCATACAGCAACACTCCTTAACAATTGCACCATCCACGAGGAACATTCCTACAGAACGTTCCTCGCTGTTCTGAAATATGAGGCTACTCAGCGATCTGCAACGCCGACAGTCCCGCACTTCAAACTGTCCAATCAACTTCTGTTACGTTACTCTGTCGACACACACAGCAGCAACTATCACGAACACCCTCCCTTGGGGCTGTTGTCTCGACCAAACCAAACAAACATCAGAAAAACAAACACAAAAAAATAAAACACGACTCAGACCTCTACTTCTCATATCTCGAGCTTAGAGCAAAATTACGATGAACTTCAACAAGATCTCTCGGCAGAGCCTTCGTCAGAATGTTCGCATTCTGTCCTTCGCTAGAGACATTTCTGATTTTCAACACTCCCTTCTCTGTCAAATCCCTAAGAAAGTGGTGCCTCACGTCAATGTGCTTTACTGTTACACGAACTAAGTGGATTCTGAGCACGTGCAATCGCACCTTCGTTGTCCTCGTACCTGAATCTTACCAATTTCATCACTAGGCCTCAAGAACTCGAGCTTTCCGTTGACAAACAGAGCCTCTTTTACACCGTCACCCATCGCAACATACTCTGCTTCAACGTGTGACACATTTCTGTGTCCTAGAAATCCAAGCAACAAGACGGCCAGCTACAAGAACTAGTGCTCCCGAAACTGACCTGCGGTCAGTGGCCTTACTGGCGAAGTCTGCGCCTACGTACACCAACGTGCCTACGTCTACCATAGTGTCCTGCTTGTACTTCAAAGTTAGATATGCCGTCTCCAGAAGATAATTCAGAATCTTCTGGCCCGCCTTCCAGTGGCTTTTCTTTGGCTCGTGAGAGTGCCTCGCCACCGCCTGCATAGCATTTGAGATGTCGGGTCTCGTCTGGTTGGCGATCCACATCAGGCTCCCCACCACCTCCCGGAACGGCGCATCCCCTGCCTTCTCCTCCTCGATCACGGACCTGTAATCACTAGCAGGGGAAGCAGGGATCGAGCTGGTGCGACAAATATTGAATCTCTCAAGAACACTCCTGACGCAACTCTCTTGAGACATCTCAATCGTGCCAGCCTCGCGGTCGCGACTAAATGCGCAACTAAGAAAGAACTTGACCTCGCCAAAATTCTTCGTGTGAAAAGAGTCACATAGCGCTTGCACAACTATCCTGGCAAGGCTCTCAATTCCTCCATACAGAATGTCATCCACATGAATCGCGATCATACCCATCACCTCGTTTCTCATCGTGAAACGCACAACACAGGGGTCAGATAGAGATTGTTCGACAATAATCCTCTTCAGGTTCGACACAAGTCTCTTGTGAAATGTTCTACATGCCTGACTCAGTCCAACCAAACTCCTGTCCGAACGAACGACCTTTCCTGACATCGGCTTGCAGCCAGGAGGCAACTCCATGGACACCTCGTGATCCAATTCCGACTGAACAAACGCTCGCTCAATGTCAAAGTGGAGAAATTCCAAGTCATACTTGCACGCCAATGCTACTACTTCGAAGTATAATACCAAACGGATTGATGCAGCATTTGCAGTAGGCGAGAAAGTCTCAAGATAATCCACACCATACTTCTGCTTGAAGCCCTTCGCTACAAGCCTAGCCTTGGCCTTCACTATCTTGCCTGTTTTGTCTGGTCTTCATTTATGGACCCATCTACCATCTATCACGGTACAGCCTATCGGGGCCTTTACTGCTAACGCGAACGTTCCTGCTCTCAACAAGCCTTCAAACTCTGCAGACATGGTATTGTCCCAAATCACGACATGCTTTCACTGTCGGGCTCCTCGGTAGCTACCAGGCTCTGTCTCTACATCCTGAACGAGCTCTCTCGGCAGTTCCATAGTATCAGACGCTCTCTGCTCCACTAACAGTGCTTCTACAATTTCAGATGCCGAGATAGGTCCTAGAGTGGCCACGAGACCGGTTACGCTCTGCTGATTTACTGCCCGAGTTTGCGCACGGGTTCTGCCTTCTCTGACTTCAACATTCTCATTCACAGCAGTGTTGTAACTAGCAAGCTCATGCCGCGCACGACGATTGGATGGAACGTGCGTAGCAGGGGGAAGTGTCTCTGATTCTACCTCCTGCCCTCCCGGCTCAACCAACTCTTCCTGACTCTCTGACTCTACCTCCTGCCCTCCCGGACCCGCCGATTCTGCCTCCCCTGTCTCCGGCCCTCCCTGTCCTTCCTCATCAATGAACTCGTCTGCTGGAGAAGACACAGGGGGGGCTGCGCTACTGGGGGAAATAATCGCGGGCGAAGATGGCACAGAGGGGGGTTGACCTACACTGCCTGCATCAACACTGCCAACCTCATCGATTGCTCCACCAGAGACCGTTACATTACGTCGCAAAAGAATGTGGGGAACTCCTCTCCCTAAAAGCGGCCAAACCTCAGCTTCTACATCGTTGTCACGTTCCTCCCCTCCCTCCTCTACGACCTCAATCGGCAAGAGAGACGGTTGCGGTGGAGGGAGTTGTGGCGGCAACGCTTCCCACGTCACATTCCTCGTTTCCTGAATAGTTCCAACCCTCGTAAGTACTCTATGACAGTCACGCGGGTGATCTCTCGAAGGACCGACATAAAAGCAAGCCTCACCCTTCGGCAGCAGCGTAGACGGTGGCTGCCACCTACTGTAAGCCGGTTTCAAACGGATACGGTCTAGTAGGACTAGCTTCACCATGCCACATCTCATACGGCGACTTCCTATCGGGGCTAGCGGAACAAGCTGTGCGGTTAAGTGCTTCGCAAGCCCAGTGCATGGCCTCAGCCCAGAGTCTGTCAGTCTTAGGTAACTGCACATGCCCAAACAAAACTTTTGCCTAAACACGGGCCGCCATTGCCGCCGCCTCAATCAATCCCAAACCACGCTCTGCAACACCGTTGTATTGGGGACTGAAAGCCGGGGTAAACTCTTGCTTAATCAAGAGCTCGTTGCACACGGACGCAAATTCTCCTCCGAAAAACTCCCCCCGATGTCAGATCTAACAATCTCAACCAATGATGGGATACCATCAGCACGCACACTTGCGAGAAAACTCCGGAAAGCACTCGCAGCGTCTGATTGACTTTTCAGGAAATACAACCATGTACGCCTTGTGAAATCATCCTTCACTATCATGGGGTAATGTTTACCCCCTTGTGGACGCAACGTCCTTCCGCCCTCCCAGGTCAACAACAACTCTGCCCAACTTTTTGTCCGATCTGCATTTTGTTTCATGAGCAATCCCTTTCTTGAATGCCTTCGACATCGAACATCCCGTGCAAGCATGCATTTTACCTGTCAACTCCATACCTAGTCGTTTTGCTGTTGTACGAAGTAATCCCTCATGTGAATGAGCATAAATGTTATGAAACTCGTTCACATCCATCTTAGATTCATGCTTGAGGTTTGAAGGAGTGAGGGCAGCTAACACCGAAGCAACAGAGTTATTATCTAGACGATACGCAGTCGAAATGAGCATGCCATCGAAATTCTGAAAAATAACTGTTCTGTCGAAAGTAGCCATCATACCATCAAGACCACCGAAGCTATTTCATAACTTGCCATCAAACACTGCGCTGGGAGAAAATAGGTTGCACAAACCTTCAACTCTACTGAACACTCGCTGTCAGCAATCACAAACACTTCCTCCACGGTTCCAGACGGTCTAGTTCACAAGTAACGCCATCAATCCCTCATGCGTTCTAATAGAAAGCCTTCACATCGTTAACACTAGAGAGAGAGTGTCATGTGGGAAGCAGTAACCGTGTCCGTAACACCATTCTTGACATATTTGTCTTTGAGAAAATAGCACCATGTCAGACTTCTCACCGCCCTCTTCTCTTCCTGGCGCAGCACATCCACACTGAATCCTTGCTGTACCAAGGGGGTCAAGTCGAATTCAAAGCTTGCAATCGGAATCTCATGCGTAGACACACACAACGGTTCAGACAGACTATTGTGGAGGGCACCCAGCAGAAAATGTTTTGACCACAGCGAATACGAGACAACATCAGTCCCGTCGAAAACAACAGGAACTATGGGAACTTTAAGCACTCACGAAGGGGTGAGGGGCTACTCGCAGAGTGACCGGTGGGCAGTTAGTTGCAGATCAGCGGCGAGGAGGAGGTTCCTTTGAAAATAGTACTGGTGCGGAGATGGGGGAGATATACTGTTTTTATTTTTGCGCGGCTAACCAACGGTAGTCAACTATAAAATCGCGCTTACGAATGCCGGCACTCTTCAAGTTTTTATTTTCTTTGCCGCGAATGTCCAATAAACCGGTGTGTCGTGTACCCTATGGACACCGGCTGGTACATAGTTTTCGCGGCAAGGCATGGACATTCTCGGGCTTGGACAACCTCGCCTGCAACCAAACACAGATACAAATGTCCCTTAACTTTGTATGGGCCGGCGTTTCGGAACCCTTCCTAACCTTGGAGGTTGGCAACAGTGCGCCCGACCGGGTTACGCAGCTTGTACAACGCCTAGGGGTTACAGGTCACTTTGACTCCCCCGTAACCGTGCCCACTGGCCACCTGTGTCTGGCGGGACAACCGCTATCGTGTGTGATAGGTAGGGGTGATTGGCCATCTGGTCTCTCTCAACGCATGCATCTATCTACAGCGGTAGTAATCATGGTACAATGACCGCTCGCCCCGGTGGTCTAGTGGGTACTGTTGAGAAGTACGATGAGCACTAGACTACTAGCCAGCGCTATGTGGTCATCGTAGCGCTGACTAGTAGTCTAGTGCTCATCGTGCTTCTCAACAATAGTCAATGGTCGTGTCCGATGTAGCTTTGCAGCCACGAACACGTCCCCCCAGGGTTGCCATCCCTGTGATCAGCGCTGTCTTGCCCGGAAATTGCATCGGTACAAGAGGTACATCGGCTTGCTTTGCGAAGTCTCATAGACTCTTCTTCCTCCTCATACATCGGGCGCAAAGAAATTTATGCTCAAGGGGAGATTCGAACCCCGGACACTGGCTTTTGTTGTAAATAAAGCACAATGACCACTAGACTACCAGTCACCCAATGTTGTAACGCACAACGACCACTAGACTACTAGTCAGCGCTGACTAGTAGTCTAGTGGTCATCGTGGTTCTCAACAAAAGTCAATGCCCGTGTCCGATGTAGCTTTGCAGCCACGAACACGTCCCCCCAGGGTTGCCATCCCTGTGATCAACGCTGTCTTGCCCGGAAATTGCATCGGTACAAGAGGTACATCGGCTTGCTTTGCGAAGTCTCACAGACTCTTCCTCCTCACACATCGGGCGCAAAGAAATTTATGCTCAAGGGGAGATAGATTCGAACCCCGGACACTGGCTTTTGTTGTACTTGTTGTCCAGACAGCGCTGATCACAGGGATGGCAATCCTGGGGGGACGTGCTCGTGGCTGCAAAGCTACATCGGACACGGGCATTGACTTTTCTTGTTGAGAAGCACAATGACCACTAGACTACGCTGACTAATAGTAGTCTAATGGTCATTGTGCTTCTCAACAAAAGCCAGTGTCCGGGGTTTGAATTTCCCCTTGAGCATGAATTTCTTTGCGCCCGATGTATGAGGAGGAAGAGTCTATGAGACTTCGCAAAGTAAGCCGATGTACCTCTTGTACCGATGCAATTTCCGGGCAAGACAGCGCTGATCACAGGGATGGCACAGGAATGGCAACCCTGCCGAGACGTGTTCGTGGCTGCAAAGCTACATGGGACACGGGCATTGACTTTTGTTGTCATGCACAGTGACCACTACTAGACTACTAGTCAGCGGCTGACTAGTAGTCTAGTGCTCATTGTGCTTCTCAACAGGTACCCTCGTAGCCTGCTAATGGCCAGGTCATGGGTTCGAGACCCGGCAGAGTGAGTTTTTTCTCACTAAATAAATCCTGGTCTAGGATGAAAGCGACGCGCTGCAAAGCTCTTTGTTAGTAAACCATAGTCGACTTCGTTAGTCGCGAGGGAAGGGATTGCTGTACCCTTCTCGCGATAAATATATCTCAGGCATGAACCGCAGGAGGGGGTCCTGCCCTCCCCTCCTATGTGACCCCGGTTGGGTCGTCTAGCTAGTAGAAGTGGAGGATAGGGGCCAGTGGGGCATAAGACAGAGTCCAATGATGGGAAAAAATATATATGTTGCGCTGTGTTGTCGCGGTGCTTGTGCGCCGTGGATGGACCCTCCCCCTAGAACTAGGTTCTGGACGGATGCGCCGCGACATAGATTTTTTCAGCGCGCACCCTTCATGCGACTCGCCGAATACCTCACGGCGCTTCGCGCTTGGTGATGTGAGAGCCTGGTCCGGTGAGAACC